TGGGGTGTGGTTAGAGTAGAGACTGGACATGAAAGAAGGATAGCTCTGTCAATCAACAGGTGCAAATGTAACATGACTAATGTCTAAGTACGTGTTAACATGACACTTGACATGGACACCCTCATTGATTCACATAATGAATGTATTATTCGTGATTAAAAACTTAAACGTGCATGTGGATAGAAAATGTAAAGATGTCACATGTTTGATGGTGATTAACATATTTTCAAAATTAGCCACAATTGTGAGCATTAACCCAAAGTATTCTTAAGATCTCATGTTCAAGAGACAAAAATGTTTTTTGTGAGGTCAAAGTGAGCATGATCTTTGACCCTCAAAATCCGATCGGTTCTTCCTCCAGTAAATGTGAAGACATGCAACTAATTTTAAGATATTCTGTGGAGGCTGAGATTTGTGTTGTGGAGAACAACTCAGACATAGAATAGACATAGAATGAATCCCTAACATATCAAATATACGTATTTATTATTTTACAAGCAGTTTGTTTCATTTTCACATTGTGTTGCTTGGAGCAACCACTACAGTAACAGCTCTATAGCAATTTAACTGACGCTGTAACATCCAGACTGCGGCCAAAATTACTACTTCATATTATTTGACCGATTGATAAAATACGATTATGTGGCTAAAAAGTGTCAGTAATGATAAGTAAGTCTACGAAATCTCAATTAAGGCTCACTACAGTGTAAACTATTCAGTGTTGTTATAAAGGGAGAAGTGAATGAGTGAATTATCTACTGTGTTGTCAGATCTCTGTCCAAGCAAATATTGACAAGAATCTTTTATCAGTTCCCCACATGTTCTCATGGAGCACTGTCTGTACATACTGTATAACAGCTGTGATTTGGTAGAATTTGTTTTTTTCTGTGATCAACTAACTGCTAACCAAGCTGGCCACTACTTGATATCTAGAGCTAATGTGTTGCTAATGCATCATTCTCAGTTAATAACTGCATAATCACTGTTGTGATTACAAATTTTACTCTTTTTATTTTCACTCTCAAGTGTGTGTGTGCGTTTACTATTTCTAGTGTACTTAGAATGTGGCCTTAGTCTTGATCTTGCACAACATCCAGCTCTTTATCATTTTAGTGTTTTTTTTCTTCCGTAACATTTCATGGTGGTCATTCATTGACGAGGGAGTTGCCATGGTAACTTCTGCAGGCAGTGACTACATGTTCATACCCTATATTCATGCTGTCTCTAGAAGTGACACAGAGGCCCTGTTCAGATGTGGCATTAACAACCATCCTGATAGATATGATCATAAGTGGACAGCTCTAACTACATGTGTGAATGCTCTCAAGACTTAAGGACGCACTTGAGATCTGACACATGGCCACATTCCTTTAGCTGTGTGAATGCAAATGTGTCCATGGCCACATTAAAATGACCTCCTTCTCAGCTTACATCCTCTGGCTCGAAACGCTTTCATAATGAACTCAAAGTATTTTTACACTTTTGTGTTTAGCATACATTATTTTATTTGTGACCACCAACACAACATTAAAAAACAACATAATTTGGTCCTCGCAAACAATAATTTACGTGTTTATTTGTATATGGAGCAGGAAAATGAGATGTGATCATAAGTGGTCACTTAAGATGCATGTTAATTCCAGGTATGAAGAGGCACTTTCATGTTGATAGGACATCTGAGAAATGTATTTGTTTTGCTGTGACTGCTTTTTTAGTTTATCATCCACTGGTGTCTGTGCTTGTATGTTTCAAGGTGGTGGACAGACAAACATTTCGTTAGATTATGGATCAGCCTGGAGCCTTCACTCTTTCACCAAACAGTCTGGGCAATACACTATTGTTTTCATTTTTGTGTTTTAATGCAGTCAAATTCACTAAATTGTTGTTTCCATCTACATATTTTTCAGAATGTTCAGACAACTGATTAATGAGAATAAAATAGTAATTTAATCGCAGCACAAGAAGAAAATCTAAATCCTTTTTTTATAATGGCAACTTGATTGACAAACTTCAACGGAAATCCTGGTTACAGGCAACAACTCTGATGTTTTTTCAAAATTTAGGACAACAGTTAAAGTACAGCCGCTGAAGGTTTTTTTTAACCTGCCACCTGACTCAGGTGATCGTTTTCCAAAACATCCTTTTAGCCCAAAACACCAAGCTAGCGTTTTCAGATTTAAACAACCTGTGGGCCATTTTGGAGAAAAATACCACATTAACCTGGATGGAGGGCAGATATGAAAACAAAATGATGCATTTATAAATTGTGTTTGGCTTTATGTGGATGTACTCTACATGTGCTGCATGAGAGAAAGTGTCAGAAATGGATAAAGGTCAACCTCGGCCAAAAATAAACACACAGTTCTTGGCAAACTGCCCATTACACTTTGATATTTCTTTGATGAAAGTGGAAACTGCCAAGCAATGTAAGATTATTTAAAACAATAAGGATTCTTTCTGTGGGGACCACAAACTTTGATGGCATATTCTTAAAATTGTGAATGACAAAAATTATATTATTTATTATTAGTATATTATTATATTTATAATTTCTGAACAATTATAATTCATTACATACAGCACATTTAATTTCTTGTAAGGGACATGCTATCAGATCAGGTTTCTCTCTCACGCTCAAAAATATAGACACCCCACCTGCTCTGCCCATTTCTCTGTCAGAGCAGTAGTGACACGCATAGAAACATGTTTCAGACACACCCTGCAAATTAACACAGACTCTTCCTGGAGCATGACAAGGCAGATTTGAATCAGTCACACCCATGTTTACTTTATCATGTGACTAGTAAACCTGTCATGTGATCTGAAATTCTAGAAACATTCAGCCAAACTCAAAATAACAGTGATGAAGGAACCATGTTGATACAGACTATACTGTATGTGAATGTGACATCTTATGTGTGAACTCTGTTGTATTTCTTTGTTGTGACCTAAAGATGGACTGTAAATGAAAATAAAATATGAGCCAAATCTCTATCAACAAGTCAAACTGTTAGATGTTGTTCAAGCTCTACATTTGACATTCAATTAACCAACAAGAAGAAAACAACATTTCAGAGAAACTATTTTCTGCAAGATAAAGACAATGATCACAAATGTAATAGTTAAAAGGCAGCAGGGTCAAACAATCACATGATTTGCTTTTCACAGCACAGCATTGTTCATTCTGTGCAGAAACTCTTAGGAATGTGACATATTGTGATCGGATCACTAGATCTTTAAAAACAAATGGTTGCAAATGGATGACTGAGACAGTTGTGGGCTGACTTGTCTCTTCTCAGCTTCTAATTTTCTGCTTCTAGTTATAATCACTGAGCAGAGTAAGACAGGTTAAAAGATATCCCTCAACTCATTGTAACTACGGAGCTCCTAAGAAGGAACAGACTAATCCTGAAACTGCATGCTGGAATTTATTCTGCACTGCATTTTGTGCTACTTCCTCTTTTAAGTATATTTGCTTTTTTACTGACTGCAATTATTCAGATGCCTTGCTCGGTTGCGCACATATATTTGAGCCGTACCTGTTAGCACAATAAATTCAGTGTAACTGCAATTCAGTAAGTAAACAGTGGTACATTTAGATAACTACTACGACCTAAATACTAAAAACACAACAGTAGAAAACATCTCATAAGAAATCTGGAGTATGGACAAATGCAGAAATACTTGTTTATTCCAGTGCAGGACACCAACGGCCCCAAATGTGTTAGCACTTCATACAGGTAGCTCAGTGTCAGACAGCAGGGTTGTCTGCTGAACATCAGCTCAGCAGAAAAGTGGGTCAGCAGCTCATCTGATAGTATGCTACAACCTGGCATTCCTAACACCTTTAACACTGCCACGCACTATATGTGTGATCAGTAAGAGAACATTGGTGTCAAAAATGCACCAATGAAACAACGGATCACCTGTGATGGTTATTGGGTATTACCGATCACAATTAGGGAGACAGACCTCCCACAAAGATCGCAAACAAAACCTTCTGCTCTTTATCTGGACGTGAAGAGGATTTCAACAAACAAGATTAACTTAAAACCAATGTCTATCAGGGAATTATTAAGATACATATGATGGAGAAGCAAGACGTAAAAACCATGTCCCCCAACTTGGAAACAAATATGATTTTATGCAATTAGAACCCTATCAACCACACAACAACCCAGACCTAATTTCTTACACAAGAAACGTATCCTCATGTGTCACAATAGAAACTGACCAGTAACATTAACAACACTTCAGACAATATCTCTATTATCTAGTGCACATGATATTCAGCAGCCAACGTGACATGCAAGTCTTCAAATGTCTTTCTAGACGTGTAAGCAGCAGCTGTTACAATGTCCTTTGCCCATATTTACAGCTCTAAATAACAATGTATCTCGGTTTTCCAACAATATCACACACATCAAGGCAAAATAAGGGTGACTGTATGACAGGCAGAGAAACCAAAGTCAACCTTGCACTGACTGGAGGATACCCTTATCTTCTGAAACATGACACAGCCCCATGTTATTCATGGTGTTTTATGGTATACACATTAGGTTACAAAAAAAGATTTATATTAGATTTTATAGATTTTGTTAGATTATTTGATTGTGGCTCTAATTTGATGTAAACAGGCAGCTATACACAACATGCGCACATCTGTCTCTTACATTTTCAAACCCTTGTGAGACTATTTCCTTGTCAATAATAAAACTATTAATTATGATGCATGTCCCTCTTTAACAAAGAAGCTCTTAAAATTGATCTCCAATACTTGAAGGAAACTAATTAATTCAAAGACATCTTCAAGGGCTTTAAATAAAATTCTACCAGCATTTCTTACTATTTCTTTACACCAAATTGCTGTTTAAAAAAAAAAAGCCAGCAACAGATGAATTGATAAAAGTATCATTAGTTGCAGCAATAAGGTGAACTGACATTTTGTGGAGTAAAAAGTAGAGCAATACAAAAGGGTTGAATATAATGAATGAACTTACCAGTCGGTTCTCATCAAACACTTCCAAGAGCAGACGATGTTTCTGAGGATTAACCTGAAACATACACATAGAGAGTAAAATCAAAACATAGTTGTTCTGGGTTTAACAACAAACCATGGACAACAAAGGCAAGAATGTTTAGCATTTTATGATTAAATATGATCAAGTACCCAGTAGTGTTATGACAGTATGTCAAAACAGGTTCTTGTTATGACAAGCCACAAATGACCTCCTGGAACATACACTACACATCAGATTAAATATTTACACAAGAGATAAATATATGCATTTTAAAATGTTTAATGTTAAGTTTCACTTACTCTGAAAAAGAATTCTTCATTCCATTTTGGGTCCAGCGTCTGCAAGTAAGTAGGGGTGAAAAATAATCATTAAATTAAATTGTAAAATCCAAAAGTTACAAACCAGTGTAAGAACAATTGCAGATATTCCCCGTCTCACCTTTTTTATTGTTTTGGTCTGAAGACTGGTGATCTCTCCACTGGTGGGGTCATAGAGAGACACTTTTGTATATGGATCACTGAGAGAAAAGGACATTAGATTCAGATGGAGACATCACTCTAGAAATATTTATACAGTCATCATTTACTTTCTGCTCTCTGTGTATTACTGGTTTTTGTGGTTCTTTGGCCACGAGACTCTGAATTATCTCTGAGGGAAGAAAAACACTTAACATCCTCGTCTCATCAGATCAGACTCTGCTGTCAGACCTGAGAAACATAAACATAATGGTTCCAGCTCACTCTACAGTCAATAGAAAGTCAACAATCATTGTTATTTTACAATGACTTTGTAGAGGCACTGTAATGTGTATTATAACCACATTCATCAATCACATTACCCAGATGTAATGCCATAGGCCTGCAGCAAAGTTTGTTGTTTGTAATTGTGTTACATTAGAGTGATAGCAAACCAGCAATTTTGGCTGAGGCATGAACAAGTTTTAATCATCATGTTAAAGAAAACAAAATGTAGGAAAAAAACAAGGTTTGAAAAGGTCATAAACAAGGAACTAACAGAAGAATCTTTGTGTATATGGGGAACTAGTCTTGACTCTTTTTGAAAGTGAAATTACACAAAAAAAAAACAGCATGGTGTTCAATATGCTCCTAGCGATTACAACCAAGGAAGTGCCTGTGTTTCAAAAGTTAGGACTCGCTGTCTGCACAGAAAATACCAGGAAAATGTTTTCATTGGAATTCTTTCAAATCAAGTGTAGTAAAACTTAAGTGGCAGACTCAAAATGATGAAACATAAATGTATTCATGGTTCACTGACAAGTGACTGTAACTTACATCTGCTGGATGTTTATTGAAAAACAAAATGCCATCACTCATTAGCAACAGGAAATTCTCATCACATAATATACAGGAAGATAATGAGTTGACTTTTACAGGAAATTAAAAACACATGGCAAAAACTAAATTCACCACAGGAAACATTTTGATCATTATTCATTTTTTTAAGTAAATCATAAAGACAAAAATCTGTTCCAGCTTGTCTAGTGTGAACATTTGGTGATTTTCTCTTTGAAATAGTATTTGTTCGATTAAATTTATCTGGGTTTTTGTAGTTGGTCAGAAAAGTTCTGGAAAAGTATAAATATGCATATTATCCATTTATAGACCAAATTGTTGAAAGGAATATTTCTTGTCAGTTGATTCAGTAAATAGTCAATGGACAGAAAAATATTTTTAATTGTGAGGATTTGCTGTTGATGACATCAGGATTGTAGCAAACATTTTCAATGGATGAACCGATAATGAAACCAATGGTTAGCTGCATCCCTACTTGAAAGTTATACAGTATACTGTAAGTAAGCATTACATTTAATAAACTAACCTGGCTCCAAGAATATCTTTTTTGGCCAATCCAATTCCACCGATGACCTTCACTTTAAGGACTCTGGAATCCTCCTGAAGTAAAAAAAACAAATAAAGAAATACTGATGACTACAGGAACATATAAATCACACAACAAAAATAAACAATGGCTCATGTGGCTGTGGGAAGTTATAAGGACGGTTTACATAAATCGTTGATTTTATAACTTAAAAAATGATCAATAATGTATTAATTTTTTTATAAATTGTTTTATTCAAGACATTTTCACCAAAAAAAGACTATTACAATGTCCCACAGAGCAAAGTGATGTCTGAGTAACAGTCCAAACCTCAATAATATTCAGTGTGTGATCATGTGTGACAAAGAAAACACAATCCTAATATATCCTCATACGTCTTGTTGATCTGGGTTTGTTCCCTCATGGTTGGTGCACTGTCAGCTAAATGAAACTTAATGTAATGTAAAAAAAAACAGCAAATATTTGACTTTAAAAATGACTTCAGCTAATATTATCAGAAAGAATAGCCAATTATTTATTTGAACAATATTTAATAAACAAACTAATTGACCTAGTCCTAGTGGTGATGTTAAAAGCTTCTTTGGTCTAAAATGAATCACTGTCACATGCCCACACAATCAGTTCAGTCTTACGTAATATCCTGAGAACACTTTGCCCATGTGTGCATTTCCCGTTATGTCCACAGCCTCATTCATGCTTTCACTGTAAAGCTTGGGAATCATGACGTGCCACAATCATCACACAGGCTGAGAGGAAAAGATAACGTGGGCCAATGTGAATTCTTAGAAACATAATTTTGTCTGCTTCTAGTGTGTGAACTGTTACTTATTTCTTTGTGAGGAGCATGTGCAGCAGAAGCCCTTACAGAGCGAGGACATGTTAGAAAGGTGAGGACATTTTGTGAGTCCGCACTTTTTCACAGGGCCAGTTTAGGATTTACTTTTAGGGTTAGTTTTAGAAAGGTTTGGGTTAGGGTTGGATTTAAGCATTAAGTTGTGATGATTAATATCCGGGGTAAGGGGATGGGGGATTCAATCTGCAAATTAATACAAGACAGAGGGACAGGGTGTCTTTGTGTGTGTGTGTGTGTGTGTGTGTGTGCATGAGGATCAGAAGACCTCATGGAGGCCAAAACCTAGTCCTAATGAGGCAAAACTTAATTTCTGATGTCCTGGTTAAGAGGGTAAGATCATTTTTGTGGTTAGGTTAGGTTAGGTATGAATTGGTTAAAGTTAGGGGTAAGATTTTAATGGTTTTAAAAGGTTTGGTATGAATTGTTCCCCAAAAAATGTTCAGGGGTAAACTTTGTTGCAGCAGAATCCAAAACAAGTGTCCTCTTCTTCTTTTCTGTTGATGTATTGCGTCTGACGTGTAAGTCACAATTTACTTAAATCGTATTGGATTCTACAGCAACAAGTGTTTTGTGGACTCAAACACCATCATTGGGATTGTGGTGAGTGGATTTTTCGGTGAGCTATCCCTTTAAGGTTAGGGGTAAGATGTGAATGGTGGTTAGGTTAAGGTTAGGTATGAACTGGTCATGGTTAAGGTTAGGGATAAGGTTTTCTGGTTAGACTGTATATTGATTGACCAGTACTCACTTTCTCACAGGGCTGGTTTGGGGTTAGGATTTACTTTGAGGGTTAGAAATAGGTTAGGGGAAGAGCAAGGGTAAAAATGAGGGTTAGGTATTTAGTTGTGATGGTTAAGGTTCGGGAAAGGGGGTTAGAGAGGGGAATACAGAATCCTGTGGGTGGGTGGGTGTGTGTGTGTGTGTGTGTGTG